AACTGCTCATTGCCAGAAGTTCAATCCTGACTGGCTCAAGATTGACTCAGGCTTCCATCCTTCCAAGGTCGGTCAAACGAGGACCTAGATTGTTCGGAGTAATATGACATTTGTAAACTGCTTAGAGAGTGCTGTAAAGCACTACGGAACACTGTACAAGTTTAAGTGCTATTTATAATATCTTTCTTCTACTGCTTCTGCTGTGACTACTATATCAAGGAAAGTGTCCTTTTTTGTAGCTGATTGTATGAAAATGCCCAGATACTTTACCATCCTTTCCATCTTACAGTCCTTTTACCTAGGAACTAGAAATCAACCCATTATTGTCCCATTCATAAATCAATCTAAAAATGAAATGCATTCAGCATTGCCATTTCTTTGTGAGTCAAGAACTCCTAGAGAACATCCTGAACCTTGTCTCACACCCTTAGCTGACTGATATGATAGTTAGATACAAAGAACATCAGTCCAGTGAATTGTAATTGTTGCACAATAACATGTCAATAACATTCCAACTGGATGCTTTTACATAACAGCTATGAACTTAGTATGTTGCTGTACTGGGAAAACTCAAGAGATAAGTAAATTTTAAATAACACAGTTTCCAGACACCGTGGAAACTACAATAACAAGATGCTGATTCTTAAGATAGTTAGAAATTGCATTGTAATTCCTTTTTAGTGGTTGACTTGAGCCAAGCAGGGTAAGACAAAACGGCTCTCCAGCAGGAAAATGTGATGCCCACAAGGGTGTTGGAACAACAGCAGGAACTTGGATGAGCTAGAAACTCCACAAATTTTCTATTTGTAATAAACTGGGACAGAATCAGAAACAACTGTTGTAAGACTAAATAAATCCATCCAGGTTAAAAAAATAAAATCTGTCTGTTAGAATGATTGTAGTTGGGTAGAAAAATTGGAATTCATGTATCCGCTAGTATGTTTTTCTGAAGGCTAAATGCTGAACTCCTGGGCTGCACTTGCTAAATTCATTTGAAGAATACCTGTAGTGTACCAAACAGATTTGATAAAGTTCCTCATCTCTAGCGGGCCTGCATGTGTGCTTAAAATTGGCAAGATAAAATCAATTTCACAGGAAATTATACTGCTTAAAATAGTCCAACTGGAGGTTATCTCTGGAGAGATCACAAACACAGCTTGAAGTCTGCAGAAGCAACATAAATTTGCAACAAGAAAAACTTATTCTGTGGTAGGAATATATCATGCTCCATCAGAAACCTGGAACACTATTAATTAGTCTTACATTAACATACAAAATTTCTTATCAATGCCTGATCCCTAATCTCACCATGGGACATATTTTCTACATTTACATCATTTCTCCCAAATATTCTGTTACAAGCTGAAACAGCAGTGATGAAGCAAGAACAGAACATTAGACTTATCATGTAGGTAACATTTTCTTGCTCCACAAAAACTGGGTAGGCGTGGCTGGTGTGTGTGTGTCATGTGACTGGGTTGGAGTGAGTGATGTCGAGTTGGCCACGGCCACCCAGGTTTTGTGCTTCCCGGTTTCTTTTGTGGGAAACGGGTCCAAATGGCTTGAGTGTTTAAGATTGCAGACCCCTGCCCTAGGCCGCTCTTCTGGTTTACCACCATCTGCCCCCTCTTCTTTAACATTTACATGAAGCTACCGGGTGAGGTCATTTGTTGGTTTGAAGTTCATATATTCAATATGCCAATGATACCCAATTATACCATTTAACTGGGGCTGACCAATGGAGGCTGAGAAGGCCTGGATGGAAAGGAACCAACTCAATCTTACCAAGATAAAGTATCTGTGGAAGTTAGGATCTCCTGCATCTGAAGATTTTCAATCCAGTCTTAGATGTCCCATACTTAGAAGTGGTGTGCCATCTGGAGGCCTTTTCGACTCACAACTCTTGCTTAAACAGGTGGCAGTTGAAGTCAAGGGAGGGGGCTTTGCTCGGCTCCAATGAACCAGTGGCATCCTTTTCTGAATTAGGATGCCCTTCAGATTGTCACTCATGCCCTACTTACCTTAAGACTTGGGTACTGCAATACATTGTACCCGAGACAAGCTTTTGCAAGGCACCAGGAAGCTTCATTGGCCCAGAATGCAGTGACACGGGCAGTTATGGGCATATCTTGGTATGCCAATGTGAAAACTTACTCTAACTGCAGGTCTGCTTTTGAGTGTGATTCAAGGTGCTGGTTATTAGCTGTAAAATCTTACATAGCACAGGGCCAGGCTGAGAGATTGCCTAGCTTTCTTGGTTTCAGTCTGTCCAGTGAGTGCTGGCAGTTGGAACTCTCCAAGTCTCTTCAATGAAGAGACCAATAAACACCCAGGAAGTGTGCCTTCCCTGTTGCAGTATCTGCCCTTTGGAATAAGTTCACCTTGAAATGTGTGTGGTCCCATCTTGCTGGTAAAGATATTCCTCAATGTATGACCACAATTGAGCCTAAAATTTCTGTTGCTAAGCAAGACATTTGTTAAGCAAATTTTGCCCCATTTTACGACCTTTCTTGCCAGTTGTTAAGTGAATCACTGCAGTTAATAACGTGGTTAAGTGAACTTGGCTTTCCTATCGACTCTTCGTTTGGTCACAAAAGGTGATCACATGACCCCAAGACACTACAACCGTCATAAATATGAACCAGTTGATCAGAATTTTGATCATATGTCCATGGGGCTGCTGCAATGGTCGTAAATACAAAAAACAGTCATAAGTCACTTTTTTCAGTGCCGTAAATTTGAATGGTCACTAAATGAACTGTTATAAATTGAAGACTACTTGTATTCTTTAAAGTTTTGAAGACTTTGGTATGTGATGGATGGAGCCCTTTATTGAGCGTGCCCCTTGTCTTTGTATTGTTGTTTTATTGTTTTATTAAATTTATATTATGTATTGTGATCCCATCTTGGTTTTGATTTCATTATTTGTAATGGTATGTGGGAAACCGGTAGCAGAGTCATAGACTAGACAATATCTGAAGTAGCTCTCTCATTATCTGAAGTATCTCTCTGCCCCCAAAAGGAGATAACTGTGGGAAATCTTTCAGAAGGGGTTTTCCCTAGTTTACAGAGCAAAAGGAGAGGAAGGGAAAAATACTTTCAGACTTGCAAGATTCTGTTAATGTTAACTTCTAATATAGAGCTAGTCCTTCTGGCTGGCTTCTCGTCTGGTCAACCTGAGAAGGCTAACATTATTTGTGAACTTCTCAAGAGTCATTTTGGAGTTGGTTGGTGTCTACATTGAATTAATTGAATAAATAGCTAAAAGAATAAAAACAGAGGAAGAAACTTACCTACCTATATGTGCAGAATTACTGTATGGTAGTCCTATTTAGTGACCACAGTTGCGATTAGCAATTTGGTCATTAAACAAAGCAGTTGCTAAGTGAAACTGTGACTGTGCTTCTGATCTTAGTGCAGCTTTCTTTTGCTTTTGTACCTGCAAAGATTGCAAATGTGAGCCTTGGTCGCGAAATTACTTTTTCATCACCATCTTTAGTGTGAACAGTTGTTAAATGACAGTCTCTCTAAATAAGGACTGCACACATATATTTATCAGGTGGTTTTAGCTGCTGAAAATAGTAAGAAAGCCTTTATATATATAGAAAAAGCAAGGTTTCTAATACTCAAGGATACAGATGTCTTCGTCATTCTTTAGTATCTAGTTTCCTTTCCTGGTACTCATCCCATTTGTCCATTTTGGTAATTAAGTATTTTTTAAATGAAATTCTGACTCCTACAAACAGATCAAACTAAACAACACAAAGTACTATGTTAAGAACATGCTGTTCTTTGTATGAAATGATTTGTTTGTACATAAATGCGAAGAAATGGGGCAAAACCACATTTGTTTGCTTTGTAAACCTACCTTTGCAATTCTTTCTATGTAAGTATTTCTTTATCCTACTCATTGTAGGAAAACCATATTAATCTATGATGGCAAAAATCAGAAATAATCTGGTAGTAGACTCCTACTGATTTTTTTTATCATCTACTTGATACTACTGAAAATGCCATTTTAATATGTGGTTTCTAAATGCAAATTGAGATGAACCAAAGCATTATGGCCATAGGCTAGCAGGCAGATTTGTTTTTTAATTTATTAAATAGAAAATTGAGTGTTAGTCAAGATTTGATTTAAATAATTAGATGTACAAGCAGTCTTCAGGTTAAGAACATCCAACCCTTGCCTATTATTGGTGGCACACTGATTAAAGTGATGTATTGCAGGCAAACTCTGCCCACATTGTTTGGGGTGATATGTAAATAATGCTCAAATTGCAAACTGTCCAGAGTGCTATATGGGGCGTTATATAAGCCTAAATGCTTTTGCTGTTGATATAGATGGGATCATTTGAATTTTTTTTTTAAGGCATTGTTTTTGGTTTTCAATTGGTAAAGAACAGATGCTCTTCTCTCACCCCCAAAACAACCATAGCTGTGGATACAAACCTAAGTAAAAAGCTATGAACATACAGAGTTCTGTCATTTATGCAGAACTATACATGAAGGCCAAGAAATATAATCTAGGTAATGTTGAAAGCCAATGGGAACTGGACTACTCAACTAAATGAGCAAATCTGTTACTTTCAGTTTCTCATCTTCTTGCATGAAACTCATTCCATCCAATTTCAGCATCAATTTCTGAACAGTTCACAAATAGCACTGACATTTGTATGCATGTCTAGTAAACAGTATTTTCTTCATTTCAGAGTATATTTTGAAGCTACTTTTAATTAATACACACTTTTTAAAATTTGAAAACTATCACCAAACTCACAGAAATATAAATGCTGAAGGAAGCCTATTTGGTTAAGAGGAAATTGGGAGAATTTAAACAAAAAGATGAGTTAACCCAATTTCTCCCCCACTTCTAGTCTTCACCCAAATTTTTGGGGGCAATCCATTCTGGAACACCTCTTCCCCACAAAGAATTTTGCAGCTCTTGGTTTGCAGCCAACCAGTGACCTTCTGGGTACAAGAACACACGGATGCTGGCATTGTGTTAAGTTGTAGGAATTTATTTTAAATAACCTACAGTTGATTAAAAGGGAATTCATGATAAAAATAGAAGATACTTGTCAAGGAGAGACTGCGGGGAAACTTGCCTTTGCACCACATTAAGCTAACAATACTTCTAAATCTAATGGATTATAGCAAAAAAGGGTTCACATTAAAATTCTGCTTTATTTTTTTATTATTTTTTGTACACAATTACAAAAGAAAAAAATAAAAGCCCTAAATCTTGATTTTTTTTTTAAATTTTTTTTTTCTGGACCAAAGCTCACTTCCCTCAAAATTTTATTGACCTGTGAAAGTTCTTTTTACACAATAAAATCTTTCAAGTAAAAGAGAGCAGAAAGGCTTTTTTATTAAAAAAAAAAAAAAAAAGGTGGGGGGAGAAAAAAAATCTGCCATAGGAAAAACAAAACAAAACCCACAAATGTGGATATTTCTCATATATATATCTATACATATATATATATATAATGTACTCAGAACAAAGTATGATGGGAATACATTTTGTCACAAATTTGTTTGTACTCATAATCTATTAACCCTCCCCAGCCCTTTCCCTCCTATCTTCTGCAAATCTACATGATCTTTAAGATCAAGAAGAAAAAAAATGTTTAAATATTTTAAAATAATTAAAAGTACTAAAAATTCACATTAACAAAAGAAGTAACACTCAAGTCAGGAAGGATCTTCCCATCATGCTTTGCTTTGAAGAGATGTTGCATTTTTAATTCTAGGTTTCATTACCATGATGGTGACAAGTAAAAATGAAAACAACAGGGTGTTTCCAGGACCATTGTGGCCAAAACCAGTGTGCTAAGGGCTTCAGTTGTGTTAAATTAATGAGGGTGGGGTGGGGAGAAATTAAGGAGTCCATTTTCTATTAAAATATAGAAGTTATTGCAAAACCCTAACTGTAAAAACATATCAATATCTCATTGGATTCTGTATACAGTAGATAATGATTTTCAAGCTCGTCAATGTAATGGCAAATTTGTCAGGTAGAACATTAACAAATTCCTCCATTCACTTGTCCTTACTGTACTCCAGAGATAAAACACAACCATACAGCTAGAATTTAGGTCTCTGAAACAGATTTAAATAAGTTGTCCATAGGACAACTGTCTTGGCTCCTCTACAATATTTCCAGGCATATCTTTACTCAAAGATGTTGGGTATTTCATCACTCACTTTCCCCTCTGACACCCCCCGCCCCCCAATATAAAGAACAAGTAAGGCTCACAGTTTATCAATCTCCCTAAAATCAGGCTATTTTCTTCCATAAAATCCATCCCATTAAAATCATATTAAAACTCGTAGTCGTCATCTGCCATGTCAATTGCCCAGGCAAATTTCTCTCGCTGAGTTTTATTATATATTTTCTCTATCGGTATTCCAAATTTCTTGCACCTTAAAATTGGAACGGGTGGGGAGAGAGGGAGAAATAGAGACAAATCAGAAACAGTTGATGACAACAAAACACAAGTATTGTACTCTCAAACAAGTCAAAATTTCAGAGATACACTTTCCAAATCTATAATATATACATGATGGAGTGACTTGATCATGTCTAATACCAGTTCTTAAAATCTTGCCTGAAATCTTAGGGGACACTGTAAAATAGGCATTCATAGAGTAGGTGCAAAAGCGTCTAATATTGAAACTCTAATATTTAAGATATACATGGGCAAATTTATGACTTGTTGCTAACCCTCTCATTATACTTAACTGTGGATCACTAGAAGATACTCCTATACCTGTAGAAAGATCTATGTCCATTCCTGATTTTAAATTTTATAATCTTAATAATTTATTATATAAAGCATATAATAAATTGTGACATATATATATATGTGTGTGTGTTTTGTACAGCATATATTGTTACCATCCAAGGTTAAAGTTCAAATGCAGTCAACAAACTAGGAGTCTGAGGAAAAAGGCTATTAAATTTAGAAAGCAAGCATGACCAAATCCCTATCCTTATGCTCAATGTAGTATTTTCCATTTTTAAAAATTTTGTAACTATCATCAGAATAAGGCCTTGATGTGACTTCAACACATGATACCTACATGGCCTGTGGTTTCCTGAATCTTCAGAACATGCAAGTCAATATTTGCAACTCCTTCTTTGTATCGTTCCTTACTCTTGATTTGAGTAGGATCTCTATTTTCAGGTTTGTGCTTTTCTCTTTATGTTACAAGAGAGACGTCCTACTTACTGCCAGAATTGTCTGCTCCAAGTAGAATTTGCCTAAGCAAGCATGCTGCATCTGAATCTTAAGAGGGCAGGACACTAAGTAGATGGCTTTCTTTGCTCTAACACAGTTTGCTCAAAAGGTCAAAATTATAAAACCTGCTTTTTGCAGAGAATCTGAAGCAGAAAGGACTACATAATGGGTGATGATAAGTTACTAACTGGTGTTATTTATAGGTAACTTATTTACAGTATTTTTCAGACTATATGACGCAATGGAGTATAAGATGCACCAAGATTTTGAACAGGTAAACAAGAAAAAAAAAGTTTTTGCTCTCCATGGGCCCCAGAAGCACTCTGTAGGCCTCCCAAAGACTCTGCATGTCCCATTTTTGTAAAAAAAAAAAAAAAAAGGGGGGGGGTGTTTTTTGCAAAAAAAGGGATGCAAAGGGTTTTTTGGGAGGCCTGCGGAGTGATTGTGGGGGCCGGGGAGGGCAAAAACACGACACGTGGGGGGTTTGGGAGGCCTGCAGAGTGCTCCTGGGGCTGTTTTTGCCCTCCCCAGCCCCCGTTTTTGGTGAAAACAGGAAGCACAGGGTGGGGTTTCGGGAGGCCAAAAATGACTGTATTCAGTGTATAAGATGACCAACATTTCCACCCTCTTTTAGGCGGTGTGGGTGGGGGGGGAGAGTGCATCTTATACTCCGGAAAGTATGGTATACCGTTTCTGTTTTAAGGATGTACACTGTCTAAAATGTTTGAAGAAATACAAACAGATGCATCGAACAATCTTCTAGTTTTTAGGTAACGTCATATTCTTAAACTGGAACACAGGGCTGGGGCACACAGAAACTTTAATCCAGTTGTAAGTAAGTAAGTGAGAAGTAAGTAAGAGGACTATTATGAGTTTCGCCTATTCTGTGACTAAAAAAATCCTCAAGGGCATCATTCAACTGTTACCTTCTTTTTATACTACAATATGAAGCATTTTTTCTTCAGAATAAGTAAATACACCTGCTTGACCCATCTTCTTTTTCTCCTGAATTTATTTTGAACTTTAGAAGGTTCCCACAGTTAAGAGCAATACTAATGGCATTCTTTTGTGCAAACCAGATATACTATTTTGTTTGATACACCATTTTTGACTAGATGTAGAGCACTTCTTTGAATATTTTGGCACAATAAAAACACCCCACCCACAACAAAATTCTTTGCTTTAACATGCTGCTTTTATCCCTACAAGAAAATGGTCATCCAAATTCTACTTCCCAGAATCTTATTCTGCCCCTACCAGATGTAGGTGTCATACAGATTGAATTTTATCTGCATCAGCCTTTTGAACTGTCTTGGAAAACCAAATATGAACAAAAGCAAACAAGGACCTTCAAACCTAGAAAACATAAGCCTAATTTACTTCAAAGTATTATCCTCCTTTCTCAAACAAGAACTTACCAAGCAACAGAAATTCTAGGATCCAGATAATTTAGTTTGGAGGTACCCAAGGCTATTTGCTTGTTTTCCTCTCGGTCTGTTGCTTGAACTTCCAGCTTCATCAGCTGTTCCTCCACCCTTTGTACAGCCTTCTTCTTAGTTTCCACAGTCCTGTAAAAGATGAGAATAAATAAAACAGGTGAGAACATTAAGTAACTTTTTGAAATGTATTTCATTAAGAAGAATTAGGTATCCATGCAGGAAAAAAAATCCCTTAAGTGGACTGCTAAGCACATGTTAAGTTTACTCTTGTGCAGAACTGAGAAGGGATTATCGTCATTTCCCTGTACTAGAAGTGTAGAATGCTTAACAATGCTTATTTCCCATGGTCTCCAAATCAGAGTTTATGGTAGGTCAGGACTATGTCCCTTATATAGATACAATGGGCAGATAAGATGACTTATCCAAAGTGGCCCAGAAAGACCTTGGTTGGGAAGGAAATTGAATCAAAGGCCTTCTGGGCTTCATTCCAACAAATGTCCATGTTAAAGTTCCAGCTTTTGCAGGATGCTTAAATTGCAGACCCTAGGAAAATCATGGCTATTGCTTTAATTTGTTCTTTTGTATAGATTTTTTAAACTGATAATATGTATACCTGATATTAATATGATAGCTAAAGCAAGGAATAATGAATTATCTTGCTATAGATAAAATGTTGCTCATAATCTGATTAGCCAATTCTGATGTATGTTTTTGAACAGTACAGATATGAGGGAAATCTGCCAAGGGAGAGCAATGTGTATATTACTGATTTCTTGGAGTCATGAGAAATCTATATATTACTAAAAATCTATAACCTTCAATTGGATGAAATAGTGCATCAAAGGGCAACATGTTTTGAACCAATGGACCTCAAATGGGCGAACCCACAATTCTATGCCCAAAATCCAGGAGCCATAACTTGTGGGATTGAAATTTGACAAATTTGTGGCCATTTCAATGCTGCTGCACTACCAATGTTGCTGTCTGAAGATTTAATAGATTGGTTCTACCCGAGCCCTCCATAGCCTGGGTAGACTGGTCCTGCCATCAGCCACCAAAGTTATGGTCAGTAGTGATCAAGCTGTTGGGAAATTGGAAGTAGCTTCCACTCTCACTTGCTTTTTTTGCCCACCTGTGGTCATTCTATTTCTGTTTAGGTAAGGAATCTCTCTGAAACAATGACCCAACAAGTCAGATGTCTAGTATACCCTAAAGTTGAAGCATCTTTCCAGACATACCCGGGCATCTTTCTACTTGGTATAAGAAGGGTGAAATGCTGCTGGCTCAAGTGTGCAGGACAGTTGCCAGTGATATCTTTTCATGTCTTGTGACTCTTGTGTATCCAAGTATTTATTTAAACAGTCCTACATGAGTGTTCACTGCCCTTGCAATCAGAACCATATAAGGAAAGAAGAAAACCTATTCTCTAGCAATTTAACAATGTCACATCCCGTTGCTTAACAATATTGCCCTTTACACATATGAAGACAAAGCTGCCTTTAATGAGCTCTTCACATGGCTAGGCTGGCCAGATGAAGGGGATAAAACTCTGTAGCATGAGACTTCTACTTTATACCTTGCCTAGGAAACTTTTTACATGCACAGTGCTGGGAACAGATGTAAAAGAGCAAGGCAACCTGAATGAATGTATTCAGAAGGAAGACTCCTTGCTCAGATCAATAGGCACAAAATTGCAGGCCAAGATCTGAAACAGCACATTCAAAAGCTGAATAAATATTCAAATAACAAACATTTTAAAAGATGTTTCATTTGGGACCAATATGAAATAAGGAAATACTTGCAAATGTGGCTACGTCAGAGCAGTCAGACTTACTTTTTAGACTTCTCATCCCTTCGGATCTTGGCATCAGCTTTGGCGCTTTTTAGTTCTCTCTTGGCGTCAGCCAACTGTTCCTTCTTGGCATCAATCTAATCATGCAAACAAATAAACCATAGTATAGATATGGGAAGGAATTACAATTGAAAAGCTGAAACATTTAGATAACTATTTTTTAAAGACTCTAATTTCAGATTCTGTAACACAATATCTAGGAGAAAATAAAACTCTCAAGAATCCATCTTACATCTCATGAATAATAAAGCCTAATATTTATTTATTGTTTAATTTTTGAAATTTAAAAAGATACTTGAAGAGCACAAATAATAGCTGTTTACAGTACCCTAAAGTGGATAAACTATGATTTTTCATGGGCAGAAATTATAATGGTTTTGTTTTGCAATGAATCTAAATTTTATAATACTGTGGAGGCGGCCCAAAATTGCAATAGGCTGTGTTTTTGGGAGGTTTATACAGATCCACTACAGTAGAAAACATGTATAGCAAGATTCTAAGTCTTATGATGCTCATTAAACTAGAGAATTGTTTTAATAGTTAAAATGCCAGGCTAGAAACCAGGAGACTGTAAGTTCAAGTCCTGCCTTATGCATAAAAGGTGGCTGGGGCACTTTGGGCCAGTCACTCTCTCTCTTAGCCCAGAATGGCAGGCTCTAGCAACAAGTTGGTTGATCAATTTCTATTGAACAATGAATCAACACTCGGTTGACCTGGAAAAAGCAGACACTGCACTTGCAGTGCTCAATGAATGTCTCATGCTGGTTCAATACAAAAAGTTAAGAAAAAAAAAGAATGTATCATCAGCTACCAAGGTGTCCCATTACACATTAAAACAGTTAAAATAGGAATTAAAATGATTAAACCCCATACAAAAATATGTGCTTTAAATGGTTCTTTAAAAAGATAATATTAAGTTCCTTAACTTTCATGCAGTGCATTCCAAAGAGCTGGAGCAGCAATTCTCCAATTCCCAAAGGCTCAGTCTCAGGTCACTGCTAAACAAGCTCACAACCAGTGTATCTCTTCAAATGGTATCAATAAACATGAGGGTATTCTTTCAGACAGCCTGGATCTAAGTAACTATCATTTTGATCATTTTTCTCCAGAAACAAATTGACTATGCAGCACTTTATATCAGTCCAGGCATCAGTATAACAATAACAGTCTCTTTGCATTCTTCCCAAGACCACCTGACTACTGAGTTCTTAATCAAACACAAGGGTAATCCGCATGGAACACATTATTATAGACTACCAGCACCCCCACCACAGTTTTAAAGTCATCATTACCCAGGCAAGGACATAGTTGGTATATCAATCAAATCTGCTAAAAGGTACCAGTGGCCATTGCCTTAATCTGGGAAAGTAGATCTGCATCATGAGGCACCATGAACTGTCCTCCGTCCAGGCAGACCAAGCAAATTCCCTGGAATTATGGCCCCTCACAATAAGCATCTCCCTCTTGTCTTAATCAGAGAAGAGAACAAAGTTCTACAGATTTCACCTTGGGGAGGGGGAAGAGCCAAGTTTCTAAACACTATATTAAGGCACTTATATACTTTTTAGAATTAAAAGACTTTGGAGGCCATCAAAATCTAATATCATCACACAGAATAAATAATTCTGATTGTAGCTACTCTGAAAGATGGCTCTTTAGCTTCTGCTTAAATAGTAGAAAAGAGCTAATCCTCCAGAGAAATACTATTACACTGTCAAACAGCCGTTACCATTTCCCCCCACTTCAAAATAACAATTTTCTTAAAATGTCACCTTATTAGTGCCAAATTTTGCCTCCTGGAGATACAGAGCAAAAACTGCTCCATTTGTTACATGATAACTGAGATCTGAGTCCTACACCACAAACTGCTCCTGAGGGTGGTGGTTTCTTTGTTAAATGGTATATAATGATTTCACAAAGGCATGGTCAGTAAATTAATGAAAACTAACATTTATAATTATATATAATAATGGCACACACACACACACACACACACGTAAATAATTAACTGCCTTTCCCTGAGCCAGAATATCTCTCACATCTAAACCGACTATGTCCTGAGAACTGAATGCATTTTCTCTATTTTGCTATTGCTATCACAAATCAACTCACTGCTCAATGAATGTCTCATGCTGGTTCAATACAGATTGGTAGATTTATTTTTTTTAAAATCCCAATCTAGGGCTGAAAGAGAGTGACTGGCCCAAAGTCATCAGGGCTGGCTTCCATGCCTGAGAGAGGACTGAGTCTTCCTGCTTCTAATTCAGCACCTTAACCACTACACATATTCTTCGTGCATACCTAATTTATTTTGCTTTTACCATCTCTTATTACTGTTTTGCAGAGTTAAAATTTACAGACACAGAGATAACACAGATTTTAGAATGGCTGGATATGATGATGCACACAAAGAAGGTATTTGTGTAACAAAACCAAATAGAATATACGAGAAGTCTGTAAAAACAAATCCAAGCAATTTGTGGAGTACTTTGAGAAGTATGACAAGAAAGAGTTAATAGAAGTTAATTAACCTTAGTTTATCTTTTAACTGAAAACTTAGCAGTCAAATTACCTTGGTCTGTAAATTCATCATGGATTTTTCAAAGGTTTTTGGAGGTGCCCTCTGGTGGTTGCAAAGAATAGCAACAGCTCTGTTGGCACGATTGTAAGATAGGATCTTTGCTGGGATGTTATCATCCGCTGGAAGAATTCAAAGGAAACACATTTTTTTCCATATAGAAAGATGAACATTTATGAAAAGCAACTGAAAAAAGCAACTTCCAACAATTGAAAAAGAATGTCAAGGAGTTTTGAGCACATATAGCAATTGCGTCCCTAATTATGAAGGCCAGAAGTTACTTTATGCAGTCTATATCTTGAGTAACTACTCTTTAAAAAAAAGAGTGAAGTGTGTGTATTGCAATTAACATAGAAAAAATGAGACAGGCTATTTCAAAGATACTTACGGGTTGTGAGTTCCTTCAGTTGTTGCTGTAGCGTAATAGAGGCATTATATGTTCGGAATACCTTAGCTGTCAGCCCTTCCATAAGATCTTGAAGATGCTTATTTAAAATGCTAGTCTGGAAGATGGGAGGTGAAAGGAGGAAAAAATTATATACCGATTCAACAAATGGTAAAGAATATAAACAAATTTAACTGGGAAGTGCAAATCACAGAAACAGTAATTTTATCCCAAACAAGAGAAGCTATACAGTTGAGGCATGTTGTACAATAGCCTGCATTTTCCTTCATATAATCCAGATATTTTCATTAATTTATTCTTATTCAACCTGACCCTAAACCATTTCAAATAATGGGAGTTGCAGACCTAAAAGTAGAGGATGACTCCTCTACTTTTGCTTCCTTTCTACTCAGTTGGATAATTGCTGATGTCTTGTAATATTAACATGATGGCTATTAAACATAAAAGGATGGTGGAAATGAATGAAATACACGACAGCCATAGCAACATTTCCTTAAATTTTAAAGGAAACATAAATAACCAAAGTTCTCTATACTTCTGTATCTTATTATTTAAATGCATTATAAAACAGTGAAAAAGATATAAATACTATAGTTTTCATTTTGGAAAGATCTTTAAAGGAGTTGCTTTTTTCATTTTGTTATTTTTTCTCCCAGTGCAGACAAATTACCTGTGTGGACTTTTGTGCTATCTGAGCTTAGTTGCTTTCTTGCACACCTTTCATTATCAAACTAGGTAACATCATCAGTGCTCATGTTAGTGTTGATGTTGCCTAGTTTGGTAGGGAAACATCTGCAAGAAAATAACAAACCCAGAAAACACCAAGGACCCACAGTTCATCCCTGAGCTACAAATATTCTCTTCTAAATTACCTGTACTTTAGAATACCATAGATCCAATGACAGATGTACTTTCATTTGCCAATGTTTTGTAAAATCAAAACTTGGCTGCTAACAATATGATGCTAATGTATTCTGGGGCAGCTCTGTATCTTTTATTAAATTCAACATTACATCTTTTAAAAGCTTTTTTTAACCCATCATTTTTTATAAATAATCCTCCTATTTTCCCTACGACAACAACCCTGTGGAGTGAAGTTGAACTGAAAGAGGGTGATTGGCTCAAAGTCATCCAGCCAGCTTTCATGCCTAAGACAAGACTAGAACTCATAGTCTCCTGGTTTCTAGCATAGTGCCTTAACCACTAGATCAAACTGGCTCTCTTATGCCAAGCCATACCAGAACAACCAATAGGCATTAATTTCACAGAAGAAAGTTTAAGAAACATCATTTCAAGCTTACAGTAGTTCATACAGCTTTTAAATGTAGGAAAAGAAGATACTCACATTAAGCCTATCAAATAAATCATCTTCTGACTGCTTATTTTCCATGAATAACTGAAGATTCTTAAACACCTGAAAAGTAATTACAAAGGACAGAAACATGAAGCGAAGAAACAGGAGACTCTGCTGGCATGTTACTTTCCTCACTATATTACCCGATACCATATTAATATGGGTTCTGGACACACACAGTTTGCTAAGCTATGAATGACATGGACTGTTTGGTTTTGGCTACAAGTGCAAATCCAGGAATTGTGGTTTGTAAACCAAGATTGATGATCTAATGTGTACAACCAACCATGGCTATGCAAACCATAACCAGATATGTGACATCAGATTTTACTTGAGTCCCTTTATGTGTAGCGTGCTACTTATGTTTGTAATATGTTACAAAAGTCAGGCGGCTATTAATTCACTGTTAATAAATTTCCCAGATTCACAACAGAACTCTAAAGATGAATCAATGTATTGGAGCCCATTTTCTATGAGAATAGATGAAAGCATTTGTTTTTACTTAGTAATAAAATAAAGAGGGGGTAAACATAAGGAATATAAGTGTTTCTGAAATTAAAAATACTAAAGATAGGAATATTGAAGAATGTCACTGATTATGACTGAAAAACAATTATTATTCATGCTCAATAGAAAAAAAAATGTGGATTTTATTATCAGCATTTGCTGGAGACAAAGCACAGTAAAGTGACCCTGCCTCTGTGACTTTTTTAAGGATTTCCCAAAATACAAAGCTATAGCACTATGCATGCTGAACTTGATGAAACATTGACCCAATCAAGTGGAATGATTACCTGAAGAGCAACCAAAAGAGAAAAGAGATTTAAAAGATAAAGCTACTCAGTTTGTGGATTTCTTTAGTAGAGTCCCTTACCCTTTTCTCAACAGGTACTTTGTTATAGTATCTTATGGAGTCTTTTCCAAGGAAATCAAATTCTACTACATATTCCTGACCATCTAATTCTGGATGCAAATTAATATGTTCCACACGGAGGGAGCAACAGCCCACTGTGTCAGCAGTCTCCCCTTCTTCTTTCTCATTGCCAGCTCTCAGAGCAAGCTACAAATATTGAATAGTGAGACAGAAAAATAGAAATCAGTTTAAACAGATGAAAACATTTTAATCATGTAATTGATCAGCAGGAGATTACGTCACTAAGCTAAGAAGCTATTTATTTGAAATTCCAGAATGAGATTTGAGGTATCGGCAAATTCACTAGAAGGATTACACTAATTTAAAAGTTATGCATATTTAAACTACTTGGATCCATGGGTATACACACTTTAGATAAACTGACATGGAAACTGATGTAAATAAGAGAAGCACAACATGGGGTTACTAGAGGAGATGCTTCTATTCTGTTTTTCATTCTCTAATACCAGAGCTGTTATTGCAGAATACTCTATACAGCTCTGACCCTGCAAAACGAAAAGCCAAACTATTTGTACAGGTACATTCTAGGAAAGTAGGCAGAGCTTTATCTGAACAGTCTATTTGTTAGATGAGGTCCCCAGCTTTACAAGATAATAGTTCTTCTTCATTTAAATTCCTTCCTGTCATTCTTCAAGGATTTCTCTAGTACATGTTATACCTCATTCATGCCAAAGTTGGATTCAGGAGTTCTGTTTATTTACACCAAAAAGAATCTGTAAAAGTCAGAATCTCACTTTATCAATGAAGTACAATGCCACAGCCCTTTGGCGCACTTTCATCTCTTTGGATTTCCAGTCTTCTCGATATTGATTTCGAATTCTATCTACACATTTCTTCAATCTTCGAGCTGTCTCGTATTTCTGCCAGTCTTTCTCACCCTGCCAAGAAAATTACAGGAAACAACATGATGGGTTGCTCAAGTGTAGCAGGACTCTTATTTGAAGAGGGAATACAGTTTTTCATTTATTTTGATCAGCTATGACCTAATTTTTGAGTGATACTTCTGATTTCAGAAGGGAAAAGCAGTTTAAAACCCCATTTAAGATGTAATAATTTATCTTAATTCTTTTTTAAATATAAAAGTGCAATATATCTTTCCCAAAAGCATATTAGTTATGACAGAAATAGTTTAGACACAAAAAGTACCTTGATTCTAGAGCTGGGATTCAACATGATGTACTTAATAGATCCTTGAATATTCTCAGTCCATGATACCAACCAGGTTACTTTGTTATCATGCCGAACCTCTTTCCATTTATGGCCAGAGGGAGGGGGAGGGACTTTAGAATCCCTAGGAAGGAAAAACACAGACGTTTCAAAACAGGAAAATTCATAAGGAGGCCATAGAATATCAGCAAGCAAATTATTCAGCAAGATTCAGACAATGAACAGTGGCATCATAACAACTACTACAGTATGATACACTATGACATTTTATTTATTTATATACTTATTTTATTATTTTTATCAGTAACTCAAGGCAGCAAACTTACCTAATGCTCCCTTCTCCTATTTTCCCCACAACCAACACCCTGTGAGATGGCTGGGCTGACACAGTGACTGGCCCAAAATCACTAGCTGGCTTTAATGCCTAAAGGGGCATTAAAACTCACAGTCTCTTGGTTTCCATCCTGATGCCTTAATCATTAGACCAGACTGGATTATTATGGGTAGTCACACAGTTGGCATTTTTATCTACTTATAGAGTCCTTCTCAAAGACCAGGATGGGCAGATGTTGTTATCTGATTATTAATATTATTGTTATGAGTATTTCATTCAATTTCTTTGGTCGCCACTCGCAACTCTAGATGAATAAAGTCTGTATTCAGACTTTAATGCCTAATAATCAAACAAGCTTGAACATGTGAATCTCAATTTTATACATTCATGAATAGATTTTATAAATGAGAATTTATTCTGAGCAAAACTGACAGCAGGGCTTATAAATAGCAAAGCCACTAATGTGGTCAATTTGTTTTTGCTTTAATGTGACATGTGGATTTATCCATTATGGCAACACACTAAGTAAACCTGGTCATTCATTATACCTTATTCAACAAACAATATGAATATTGCCAATAAAGCACAATTTTAAGCTAATTAGCACAGCTTTATGGCCAAATTCCCCCAAATTAGTCTAACTAGTTTTTCTGACTCCATAGGAATTCATTTTCTCCAAGGCAGCACAGAAGCCAATCAAAAAGGATAAGGAAAGGATAGATCACTGTATCCTTCTTTGCCTGACTGCCATTATTTGCCTCAATAAGATTGAATTGTAAATTTAAAAAACCCTCAGATGGTAAATAGTGCATTACATTATGTTTTGAAAACAGTAAGTCAAATGATGTTGAAGTCAGGTTCACAATGACTTTGTCCTATTATGCCTTGGTTTGCTCCATGCCCAATGCTACCCATTCCTATCCTCCAATCCTTTAAATCTGTTAAATTACAGATAAAATGCTGCTCCTCAGACATAAACCTACCAATGATTCTTAAGTTTTTCTGCAATGTGGCCAGGCTGTTCTTCGGCCTTAGACTGCATTGGGTCATGAATCAAAGAGTTTCCAACAGATCAAACCCACCTTCCTAGTATTTAGGAAGAAGGCAAAACTGCATCTCTTTTGACCTATTATAGTAATTTTGTCTTGATTTTAGTGATTATTTTAGTTGTATGGATTTTGTTATTTTTTTAATATTTTATTTTATAAGCTGTGTATATATGGTAGCAGCAGGAAGGTAGTTTGCATATTAGAACAATTAGAACAATTTGCCTATGTGTCCAAATATAAGCTGATCTAAATTTTCTACAGAAAAAAAATGTAAATATAACCACTTGCAGTTGCCATTTATAAATTACAAAGCTGACCTGAGTATGAGTTACTTTAACACTTCACGCTACATTAAAGAAAAACTATCCTTACATACTAATGACATGGTATTGTTTTGTGTATTTTGAACGATTGGCATTATCTCCTCTTGTAGGGGAGGTTATGGATAGAACTAACTTGAGAGAGATGCTATTTGAGTGAAAAACTTGTTCTCTCTAATCAGAACCCTTTCCTTGAAATATGCAAGGTCTCCCATCCTCACTTGCTACAATTGATGATGATGTCTTCAGGCATTATTCGTCGCTTCAGCATGCCCATTTTAGGGTGGTTACCACGCCCTCTGAAGAGACCTGGAGGCTCAATCTTAAAGTTGGCAATTCTTTCCTTATGGTTATCCATGACACAAAAACCATATTCTTTTAATAACCGCTCATTCTCTTCTTTAATTCTCTAGAGGAACACATGCACACAAAAATAAAAAATTATAACATATTCAAAGCTGCTATATCAATTATTCAGATCAAATAAATTAGCTGTTGTTTAGCAGATTCCCAGGCACAGGATTCTTAGTGCATGTGCAGTACAATAATGCCATTTGGTCTATACATCATAGAAAGGGCTTGAAAGTTGATCAGCAAGATCATTTGAGTGCTTTATAACCATAGTATGTACACTTACCTCAGGAAATTGCATACAGATCTACTAATAAGTGAATTCCATTTATTTCAGTGGGTTTTATTCAGATAAGTAGCTCATAGTGTGCCCTCATATACTAATCTAGGGCTAAACCTGAATGAACATAAATTTAGTATCATCTAAGATAAATTTTCCTCACTCTCCCCAGAAAGTTTCAGGTTTCCTTGCTCAAAACAAGAAGTGCTCTGTATAGTGTATTACAGGTGGTTCTGAAAAAATGTTCAAACTACAGGTAAAAGACCCATATCTTTATCCTTAATCCTCCTTAGCATCCCTTTTATTCCTAACAAGATAATATATGATTCAATCGTCAATCTGCAAGAAGGGCTTATCCTTTTATATATAATATAGAACCAGCTATTTCAGAGGTTTTTTAAAAAAGAGAAATAAATAGGAATGTAAGACAATGACCTAATTCAGAGATATCAAATAATAGGTGTTACAAGATGGCAGTTTAGGCTGATATATTTTCCCTTTGTATTCTACTTTGCCATATCCCTTCCTTTCTGTGATCATGTTAGAAAGAGAATGAAAGGATTTTGCTTTAATTTTTTAAAGTATCAGTTTATGTAGTGCCTGTCTTGTAACCATAATTCTGGACAGCAAATACTGGATAAAAATGAACAGAACAAAAAGATAAATATTAAAAAACATCAAGGTAACAGTGCACTAGCACATGAGGATAAACACATAATCAATCATGTCAGACAAAACTACAATGATGGGCTTATTCAACCGACAGGCTCTACACCTGGGGAAACACCCAGATCTTCATGAAATGTCCACAAGATCAGGGCCAAACTCGATTGCAGAAAATACGACTTCAGCAAGAGTGGTCAATGCCTGGAATGTACTACCTGACTCTGTTGTTACATCCTCAAACCCCCAAAACTTTAAGCTTAAACTGTCTACCGTGGACCTCACCCCATTCCTAAGAGATCTGTAAGGGAGCATGCATAAGCTCACCAGCGTGCCTACCTTCCTTGTCCTACTGTCCCCATTTATTTGTACTCATTTCCTGTGTTCATGTCCATGTTTATACTTATACCTGTTTTCTTGTACATGTTTGACAAATTAAATAAAATAAATACAAATAAATGAATGAATCTCAGGGGATATGTTATTCCAAAGAGCAGATGATGCTAAGGAAGCCTATCTCCTGGGTCTTTCTAGATGGCACCGCTTAACAGATGGTCTAAAAGAATTTGTACCCTTCCAGGTCAGTGGTGGGTTTCACTTACCCTGTTTCCCCGAAAATAAGACATCCTCTGATAATAAGCCCAATCGGGCTTTTGAGCGCATGCGCTAAAATAAGCCTCTCCCTAAAAATAAGCCCTCCCTGAAAATATTTAAACAGAGAGCTGGAAATCAGGTAAGACAGCAAGAGGAACCCCATCTTGATCCACGCGCCCCAAAATAATAAGACCTCCCTGAAAATAAGGCCATGAGCTTATTTCAGGATTCAAAAAATATAAGACAGGGTCTTATTTTGGGGAAACATGGTTACCTTTACTACTAGTTTGTGCATGCCACTTCTGCGCATGCGCAGAGCGTATTTGATAACATCGGGAGGGTGGAGCTTCCCGCCGCCGCTACTACCGATTTGCCTGAATTGGGGCGAACCAGTAGCAACCCACCACTGTTCCAGGTCTAATGGGCTGTGCAGAAACAATTGGGGAAAGGTAGTCTTAGAAATAACCCGGACCAATGACATGAATGGCTTTTTAAGTGATAAAAAAGCACTTTCAAGTGTATCCAGAAACTTATTGAGTGCCGGGCAATTCATGGAATCATAATGTAACATAGGCCTATTATGGTATTCCACTACGTTCTAACCAAGTGGTTTTTAAGAACAGCTCCATATACAGTGCATTACATACAGTAAGGCATAAGCAATGAAATGTTTCCTGGTCCGAAACAAGTCACAAGACCAATATGTACAAAAGCCTTTGGGGCCATAATTACCATCTATTCCTTAAACAAAACCTGTGGGTCTAGGAGGACCCCCAAATTGTGCATGATTTTTATCTGGCGTGTGCAACCCCACTAAGAACTAGTGCAAATAAAGACACTTGTAAAATCTGATATACTAGAACATGCAGTGTAGCTGGAGAGCATTCCAATTATGACTTCTATTTTTAGAGCCTAATCCTAAGTAAAGATACCTGCTTTTCGTCCTTGGTCATTTGCTTTCTAGCTTCTGTTTGGGCCTTGAAATACTGACTCATATGACCAAAGTCACATTTGCTGAGGCTGGTGATGGTTCCCTTCTCTTCTGAAGTCATTTCCTGCAAGAAGAAAATAGAAGTATTATTAGTTAAATGAGATAAATAAAAGAATGTAGTTGTTTATTATATTTATATCCTGTCTTTCCTCCATGAACTAAACTCCAACTTGAATGTCAAAGTAGGAGTAGGCATATAATAATAAAAACCATCATCTCTTTGGAAATTTCTAGAAATCATGTTAATTTTAATAGCCAAGACTTTTTAAGAAAACTAACAAGAAACAAATTCGCTGTCAGTAACAAGCACCTAGATTCCTTCTAAATTGAACTACTAAAAGACACGTGAAACCAGTGTTTAAGCTTTTATAAATTTAAGTTTTATAAACATATAAATGAAGCTGGATCCAATGCTTTAAGGCTCTACTAGAGCAGAGTTCCCCAACCTTTCCGGCTTTGTGGACCGGCGGGTGGGGGGGGAGGGGAGGGTTCTGCGTGAGCGCTGGGCAAAATGAAGTGTGCGTGCGTATGCCTGCTGCTTGCGGAAGTGGGGATGCGCACGCACATGCTCACCTGCCACTTCCGTGGCCCTGTTTCCAATGGCTCAAAGTCCGTTAGTGGGCTGTGGCCCGGGGATTGGGGACCCCTGCATTAGAGAGAATTTTTGATCTACCAAGGAGGAGACATCTGTAAATGTTCATATTTTTAAAAGGACGAAGAAGCCCACCACAAACTATCTTTCCATAAAAAGCTGTTCATACCTTTCTCCAGTCTTTAAAGAAGTTTTTCCTGAAGATATCCTTTGTAGTGTACTCATGATCAAGCATTTTTGCAAAGAAAGTTGCAACCTCTTCTGCTTTGGGACTGAGTTTCATGACTTTACCTGCACAAAGAAAAGTAGGCATGAAATAACAAGGCAACATTCTAAAGATATTCAACTTTCCAGCTACTCTTAGAAAAGATCCAGAGGCACACTTACCAGCAGATAAACAGTGCAAGCAGAATAACCACCCTGTAAACAAGCTATTTTGTTTCAAAGGAAAATGACAAATGTCTTCAGTTTTAATCCCAATTCTATAGTGGTCGGTGTGACCTCAGAATGGGTCACTAGTTAGTCAAGTCCAGCTGAGAAGCAGAAAAAACATCTTGTGAGATGGTCTGGGATTGATTTGAAGTGCACAGAATTCTTTGTGAGATTAGTTGCATCACTGCCTCGCTGGCTTGATGAAAGCCAGAAAGGTGGCATTGGAGGCTAGTTGAAAGTAGAATTCAAAGTACTGGATAATTATCAATCTTCAACCTTCCTTTGTTTTAGAGAAGGCGGTCTTCCTTTGTTTTAGAGAAGATAACTGTAATGGAATGTGTGGATGACCTTGGGGCAGAGGAGAAGAGATGCTGCTTAGGAAACAATCAGATGAGAGAGGCAGGAGCCCCCCAGTGGGTTAACAATCAGAGAAAGAAACTTAGGATGGACCTGCCATAACAAATCAATTAGTTAAAAGTGGCAGTGGAAAGTTTGTATTTTCAGATTTGCAAGATTGATGTCAGCTCTCCCAGGTAAGCTAGACAAGAGACACAAATAGATGAACTAATTCTACTTTATTGTAAAGCTACATTAACAGAATCTTGCAAGGTTGAAAGTACAAACTTCCCACTTGCACTTTTAACTGCTTGATACCACTTGTGTTCTTGGTTCTTAATTTTTTCTAATCCTTGTTAATTTTAATCTTTTTATATTTATTATTTTAATGCATTGTAAGAGGTCCAGCCACTTTGTATAGTGAGATGGGCATCATATAGATGCAATAAATAAAAAATAAATAATAAAAGATACAATCCAACATGAGGAAATTTATCAGTTTTTCCTATTCTGGATTATCGGAATGCTTTCATTCCAGAAAAACTTGGGAGTAAGAAATGGGCTGCAGATTCATAACTATTTTAGAGCATCACACTGGACTAAGGGTGTGTCAAACAGAAGAATATTGGTATTTCTAAATTCACCAGCGAAGAACGTGTTGTTAAAGGGCTGACTTCTTCACATTTCAGCAATTTGTTACTGACCCATTTCCCCTTCACTCAAGAATATAATAGAAGCTCAACAGGAAATCATAGATATGTGGAAAGGCAGCTTCTTCCATACCTAAAAGGGTATGCAATTGTTGCACTAATATACAGTATATCTCAGTGATGGCTAACCTTTTTGCCGTCACGTGCCAAAAGCGGAGGGAGCGGGTGTGTGTGTGTGTCGTAGGTGCATGTGCCCACATCCATAATTCAAGCAAATGGAAAGTAAACAAAATGCAAAAGACATTCAACTATTTCTTTCCTCCCTACCCACAATAACTTGATATATAAATTAATTTAACAATAGTAATAGAATAACAATAGCATTTAAGCTTATATATCATCTTATAGTGCTTTATAGCACTCTCTTGGTAGTTTACAATACAGAAGCATTATTTTGCATACTACCCCCAACAATCTGGGTCCTCATTTTACCAATCTCAGAAGGATGGAAGGATGAGTCAACCTTGAGCCCCGTCAGGATCAAATTCCAGGCTGTGGGCAGAGTTTGCCTGCAATGCTGCACTTTAACCACTGTGCCACCAATTTAGTAGGCTGAAGTATATATCAGCATCATAGAATTTACAATCCTGGTACCCATGTTTTCTTCTGTAGTGTACCTATTTAAGCCCCAAAACAACATAACCTATAATGCAATTTTGGCCCCTTTCCTTATTATTATAAAATCCAGATAAATACTGATCAGTTGCAAGCAAAACCATTACCATTTCTGCCCATGAAAACTCAGCTTTAGGATACTAAACAGCTGTTAATTCTGCTCTTCTAGAAAGCACCAGTTTTTATAACTTACCATCATAGTAGAATTTGACATTTTCAGGCAACGGTTCATATGGGGGAGCAAACACAGGACCCTTGTGCTCCAAGAATTTCCATTTAATACCTTCAGGATAGCGTTCTTCTTCCCACCTTTAAAACAGAGGAAGAAATGGAAAATAAGTAAGGCTAGTATCCATCCAGCTACTGCACATAAATCCAGAATGTACAAAGCAGTATCACGGCATTCTATCTGAATATCTAAATTGGTGAATTGGATCAGAGTCTTTCATTGTTCTGTTGTGCCTAAAAATATATCTAATAATGTTCTTCACTTAATTTCTTGATTTGCCTTTATGTCATATCATTACCGTATTTTTAGGAGTATAAGACACAGCTTAGTTTTTGGGGAGGAAAATAGGGGAAAAAAAATCTGCCTACCAGGTATTCATCTGGCTAGCGTCCTTAGTCTGGTTAGCGTCAGCACATTGGTTTGCTGGTTTTGAGTGCGTGCGTGCGTGCGTGTGCTTTTTATCCCCTGCTTGGGGATAAAAAACAGCTTCTAAAGCACAACCGATCTTTGGAGACAAGCAATGAGAAAAGCAGGCAAAGCACGGAGATTGCTTCACTCGCTAGCACCTCGTTAGGGCTGAAAAAAACTTCTAAAGCACAGCTAAGAGTCTCAGGGAGCAGGCAAAGCATGGAAGATCGCTTCGCTGAAAAAAAGCTTCTAAAGCACAGCTGAGAGTCGGAGGGATCTAGCGCCTTGTTAGGGCTGGAAAAAAAAAGCTTTGAAAAAGCTACAGTTGGAGTATATGACACACCCAAATTTTCAGCCTCTTTTGGGAGGGAAAAGTGTCTTATATTCTGAAAAATACAGTAACTATTTTTCTGTACAAATGTTAAAATTACTTAATAGTGAAGGTATTTTATAAAATAAAGAATTTTTAAGATAATAGGCAATAAATCAATGACCACTACTATATGAAAATACAAAACAGGTAAATAAGGATAATAGAACAAAGCTGAATTCATTCTTGCTAATACTCCTAAATTACATAAAATAGCACTTAAAACTTACAAACCTATAAGTAACATATAATTCATATTAATATAAAATCCCATATTAATATAAATTTACTGTATTTCTGCATTAAAATGTAAAGTGAAACCTTTCAGGAAACATCCGATGAATTACCCCAAATTACAATTTTTGAAAAGTATATAAAATGGGTAATGGGTTACATACTTTGATGTCTGACCAAGGAATTTCAAGACCAAGTTTCTGAATTTATATGCCAAGAATGAAACTGAGAATCAGTTTTAGATCACATTAGAACATGTATAAAAGTAATGCACTAATTTTTAAAAATGGGCCCAACAGAATTCTATTAATGAACATTAATTTATCTAGTACAGCATCTATCCAATAGGATCACAGTATAATTTCAGAATATCTTATATATGTGAATGCCTTCACCTAGGCTACAGGAAGCTCTAAATGTTGCACAAGTGTATATTCAGATGCCCGTTGTCTCATGGTTTATTACAGAAACAGATTTCAAAGATCATTTAAAATGTTAATAATAGCAATATGTTATGCAAAGCATGACACAGAGAAATTCATCTTGGGGGAGAGGTTTGCCCATTGAAATAAATAGTATGTAAAGGTCTTTATTTTGGCCGGATCATGGTGTGCAAGCCAGGAGATGCATTCCTTTAAAATCCTTTTATTTGGGGCTGTTGGAGCAAACAGCACTATTGACATCAGTGAAGGATGTGGGACTAGAAAGTCTCAGGTGTTTTTGATTTGGCGAGAGGTTCATTTTTCATTGGGTGTGATGCGAGAAAGATCATTTTTACCCTCTTGCCTTCCCATCTCTCTCCCTTGCCCACAAAAGATAGAAAATATCCTGTCATTTCTCAGTTGTTTTGCCACTGGAATTTGGTGACATATTTTAGAGGCACTGGGCATTTTGCTTGCAAAAAGCACATTATGTGAAACAGCCCTAAGTGTGTTGATGTAACTAGAAAAGCCCAGACTAACAAATGCACCAGAAACAAACATTCTGCATTAGAATTAGCTACTGCATAGAGCACACTAGCAGGCAGGAAATACGAACAATTGCAGCACTAATCATAATGCCTGCATTTCAGTAAAGAATAGCAATTATGATATAGGATAGGATAATGGTCACAAAACACAAGAAAAAAGCCACAGCTCTAGAAAGAAACAAAGATACTGCTTAGATTATTTCTCATCTACAAATGTATATATCCCAAGCATCCGTTAAACATAAAATTATTATATATTAGCTTCAGACAAAGCAAAAATAACCACTATAAAACAATCACATAAGACTGCATCTCAAAAAGCAGCAATAAAATGGAACAGACAGAAAACAAGGCAACAAAGAATGCTTTCCTTATTAGTCCACAGTAAGGGATCAGGGGTCTGTTCCATTTTATTCCATGGAATCACAACCGGGGTGAAATGCTACCGGTTCGCACCAGTTCGGGAAAACTGATAGTGATAAAAGCTACTGGTTTAGGTGAACCGGTAGTAAAAAAAAAAGTTACCGGTTCATCCGAACTGGTATTTCCGATGATCAAATTGTGCCGCGCCATTTATATTTGCTAGAAAGAGAATCTAAATCGCACAGCACAGCAGTTCCCCCCCTCGCTGTTCTACTTACCTTGTTAAGCCTCCTTTTTCCACGCAAAGCACGCATTGGTGCGCACCGCGCATGCATGCACAGTATGAGTTTGTCACGCACTGCGCATGAAGCAAGCCGGTAGCAATCCGTGGAGAATTTCACCACTAATCACAACCAACCATGACTGATCAGGTTCTTTATACCCCCCTCCATCTTTATAACCATATCTTAACGTTCTAAGCATACCAATACTAGGCACAATCTAGCTCTCAGAACTGAAAATGGGAGCATATATTTAAAGTTCAGTAAGTTACATGACAATGTGTGTGGTGAGTGTGAATGAAGAACTACAAGGTATGTGAATATAATGCCAATACATTATTCTTGAGTTGCTATTATTTTTGAAATTTAAAAAAACCCTCTTAATGAAAACTAAACCGATAGTTTTATATTCTAAAATATGTTTAAATAATCTCTTTAAAGTTATCACTTGTTTATCATTTGATAATCCTCTCATTGGGGAATTTTATTTCTAAACACTGAGCTGGTTAGCTGAAACAACTAAAAAGCAAACTCTAAAGTTATTTTGTAACAGGAAATAAAATGAAAAAGAACAAATACACATTTTATATTCAGTATATAAAAATGGGTGGTATGCAAATTTAGTTTTTTATCCTTAATTTAATCAGATGATAAATAAGCTAAGTATTCTTAACCAGCTAATGCTCTTAGTTTCTAATAGTTCAGTTATAGTTAGGGATGGGGCTGGTTGTATTGTTTTAAAGGCCAACATTCTGTAAATCAAAAAATAAAGGGATTTCATAAAATAATGGGGAATATCATACTAATTTCATCTCACTGAGACAGCTTCTAGTTCTCCAAACTTCATAACTGGGATTGAGGCTAATAACAGGCTCTTTAGAGAAGCCATTAATGAGCTCATAGCCTTAAAGATGAAAGACAAGTCCTATGAAAGGAAGACAGAGGATGAAAGGGAAGCGGAATAGCTTTGCAGCTTCAAAAGACAGAGAAAGAGAGAAGGAGGGAGAAAATGACAATGTTGTGAGTTATCAAGACAGTGCTCTGGACCCCAAAAAGTCATTGTACATATTAGGACAAGCAACAGCAATGTTTATAAAGTCAGGCTGTAGACACTTGAATCCTAGGCCCAGCCACCTGGCCAATGATTCTCTCCCATGTTGCTGAGAGAGTTCCCTGGATATGTGATGGCATATTTATTTGGTTACTTTATACTGGTAAAGATATATAGGAGTAACAAATGCATACAAACTGGGCTTTAACAATGTTATTTGAAACAAAGGTAGTTTGCAAGGATAGAAATGTAAGGTAAATAGTATTAAAGAAAGTTAGCTATATTTCCTTTCCTTTTTCTAGTCTGTTTGTTTTGTTGGATTATTATTTCTTACTTCTTTTCTATGCTGTGCATAATATTGATCAATATGAAAGAAAGAAATTTACATGATGGACATGTATATACAAATACATGTAGGTGTTACCATTTCCATTTTTGTTCCTCTTCTTTTTTTGTTTTTTTCTTTCTCATTTCTCCTTCTGGGGGCTTCTTATCTTTGCTCTTTATTTTCTTCGGTTTAATCTCCTAAAAAGAGATAAATGAAAATGTACCACGGTAACACAAGATTCTGTTACATTTTAAAAATTAGTGTAAAATGAGATCCATCTGAAATATTCTTAATAGAAAAGGAAGTTTAGCATGCAAGTATTTCAACTGTTTTATACACTGGGACTTTGAGAAAGTTTCATCAAAATTAATGTCAAGATTATTATGAATAATTATTTTTAAGTGGATATAATAGGTCTGAGCAACATTATCAACACTGCTCAAATTAAAATTTGATTTTCTGTAAGCCCTATCTGTTATATGTATAAATAAAAGAGATAGTGTACAAAGTAAATATGCTATATTCATATTGCATCATCTACAAATTTAATTACCTCCATAGTTCAAGCTAAATATAGGGTTCTTACTATATATATTGGCCAACATTTAAATCTATGCTGGGATTAACACTGATCCGCTATCATAAATTGTTGGCAGTCCATAAGATAAAATAAAATGTAAAAAATACCTCTTCATCTTCCTGTTTTCGTTTTTTTGATTTTTTTACATCTTCAGTTTTAATCTTCTTAGGTTTGTAGTCAATACTGAAATTGCAAAACAATTGCAAATAATTCATTTCTTTTTAACCCCATCAGTTCTATTTGAATATTAGTGCTTGAAAAAATTACCCTGCCTCCATTTCAAAAGGTTACTTTTTTGTCTCTCTGTCCGTCCAATCATCCATCTATCTTCCTTCAATTTGTATGGCTGTCCATCTCAGCAAACAGCTCTGAGAAGTAAACATTCTTAAAATAAGGTTGTCATTAAACTGTTGGTTTAATAATTGGTTGTTTTAGATGCCTTTTTCAAGACTATAGAAATTATCCCAGCATCTAACAATAAATATGAAGTATCTATCTATGCTACATCTGTGAAACAGCATACATTTCATGCTTTAGTGCTTGATTCAGATTACTACCCCTCACTGCTCCTTATATTGGTCAACTTTATTCTAGAGAACTTCTGCAAAATAATATGATAATGCAACAACTGGAAAACTCTCTGATGTACTCTGAATTGTAGACCAGATATAAATTTCTGTTCTGATCTTATCAAAAGAGATATAGCTAATCAGCTCAGTGATCAAGGTTCAGAACTGGGAAGACAGCTGAATTTAACACTCACTCATCATCCTCTCGAGGTCTCTTGTAATCTTCTTTATAATAGCCATCATCATCTATTTCTTCCTTTATACGTGGTGGGCTATATATGGAAGGAACACGTTTACAAAAAATAATCATTAAAACATCATCTGGAAGCTGACCTTGCTCACTAAGTTTACCTGCAACAAGAACTGACTCATTATCGTTGCATTCCTATCTACTCTGGAATGAAGCACTTCCAATATTCAATGTTAAAATGGAAACATAAATTCCTGCAAGAATTTCATGACAAAGAACAAGAGAATAAAACCCCTCAACAATAAAACATAAGCCTCCGAGCAAAAGCAAAAGGTAAATGTTTCCCTGTCAGTCGTGTCCGACTCTAGGACACAGTTGCTTATCTGTTTCTTGGCCAAGAGCCAGTGTTGTCTGAAGACAATTTTTGTGGTCACGTGGCCAGCATGGATATACACCAAAGGCGCACAGAATGCTGTTACCTTCCCATTGAAATGCTATGTATTAATCCACTTGCATTTGCATGTTTTCGAACTGCTAGGTGTGGGCAGGAGCTGGGGCAAGTAATGGGAGCTCACCCCATTGCACAGAGCTCTGGTTATCTGACACACTGTTTCAATACTTTTTAGAACAAGTCCTTTCATTGGTTCTTTGCTATTTTTCAGCTTTCTCAGGCCCTGATTCAGGATATAATAGGCTATATCCCAATTTAGCATACAAGTAGGGGTGTGCCTGTTACCCAATGTGAAACACTGTGCTAATTTGCAGATAATATAGAGCAGAATTTTTGTTGAAACAAATTTTATTCTTTTCAGACAAGAACAAAAATTTAGAAAACATGTTCATGCAAAGTTGTTACTTGCCTACCTGGAGAAGCCATTTTCTTTTTCTTTCTTTATTTTCATTTCACCAGATGATGATTTACTCTAAAAGATATAAGTGAGAACTGGGTCATTACACTTTTAAAAAATGATATCAGATTTTTCCCCCCATGGGACTGACAAAAGACCTTGCACCAGAAGCTTTTGTATCTTCATGTGCTGAGAAACTTTTCGATCTGTGAGACTAATCCCAAAAATTGCATTTTTTTCTATTTTCTATGGCATTTATTTTAATAAACTTAAGACATTCAAATACAATGTAAATGCTTGTTTTTATTTTTAAATGTCTTAGGTTTGTGACAATAAAACACATGTTTTTACAATGTTCTAAGCTTACTACGTTTTGGGAGAAAGTAGTGGATGACATTAATGTAATCGGTGAGACAAAAGTTAAATTTTTCAGACAAAAATATTCTCTTCAACTACATATGCAGCATTTGGAATTTGACAACTAGATAATACATTTGGATTCTCCATGGTCTTACTATGGCCAAACGACAAATATTGCAGTTTTGGAAAGGTAAATGTTTGGCCCCTCTCACTTAATGGACTGAATACCTTACCCGTGTTTCCCCAAAAATAAAACAGGGTCTTATTTTATTTTGACCCCCCGAAATAAGCGCTTGGCCTTATTTTCGGGGAGGTCTTATTATTTTTGAGGTGCAGGAAGCGACAAGCGTGGTCACCTCATGGCTGCTGCTGACACAGACGCTTCTCAGCTGTCCATCTCCGAGGACTTGCACGTGCTTCCCAGGATTCTGCACCATGCCATCAGTCCTGCCAAACCACTGCAACTGGATGTCCCATCGCCTCCCTGTTCTACGCCATTAGCGTGACAGAAGGGGCGTGGTGGCTAGGGTTGCGGGAGTGTCCGTTAGGTAAAGTTGTGTGGGGTGCATGGGGCATGTTCCCCCCTTCCTTCTCCCCGTCCGGCCTCACCTCCTCAGCTCGTGTTGTTTGCGTGGCAAGCAACCAGAGGAAATGGTGGAGACCGGCTGTGCATGCGGTTAAATATTTTCGGGGAGGGCTTATTTTAGTGCAGGCACTCAAAAACCTGATTGGGCTTATTATCCGGGGAGGTCTTATTTTCAGGGAAACAGGGTAGCTGCACTTGGCAATTATGAGCAGATTGCCTACTGACGTAGACTTTTTATGGAGAAATGTAATGAAATATGGTGCTTATTAATACAAAATGCAGCAGGTAAAATAAGCATGATAATTATATGATTGTATTAAAAATACAGATGTACTTGAATAATCACATTAGATGTAAATAAATAGAATTATATTTATTGGTAAAATTATTTTTTTTCTTTGTTCCATTTTTTCACCTTTTTAAAAGGTACTTTCTATGTATTTTTTCTTTTCTTTGACAATGTATTTTTATCATAATTATCTATTTTCTCCCCTCCCCTTTTGATATTTTAAACAAACAAGCAAAATATTCAACTTCAATGATGTTGTACAAAATTTTTAATTTTCTTATCCTCAGGAACTTAACTTTTTCTTGGCATCCAGAGGTGCAGATCAGATAACTTAGAAACTGAAAACAGAGTAGTTTTATCCCTGACAAAAGTACATTCCAAAGAAGTAATATCCCCATCATAGTACTGTACCTTTTCTTCCTTTCGCTTCTCCTTCTCTCTATCTTTGTGTTTGTCTTTGTGTTTCTCATGTTTTTCTGAACTACCATCTTTATGTTTGGTTTTCTCCTTCTCTTTATGTTTTTTCTCTGAAAACTCTTTGTGTTCACTGTAAGATTTAAGAATAGTTTCAGTCAAAGAAGAGGCAACTGAAAAAAATGACACATTATCAGTATTCAAATAGACTTATCAGCATCTAAAGTCAAGCTTTCAAAAAATTATTGCAATGATTGTATTGAAAGAGGAAGGAATACATTGTCATTAACTTAAACTTTATATTTCTTTTCTAGCAACAGTAAAGCCAGTCTGCTTAAGAAAAATCAATAAAATTCACAAGTAACTGCATTTCTCTGACATAATTGCAGGCATATGTGTGCTTTGTTTAATGTATCTCAATTCAAATGATCTTCAATACAACACTAACTGGAATTCTCAATGGTATAATCCCAGCTCAGTGAGGAGCATGAAAACGTAAAGAAAACAATGCAATTATAACACTACATGTGCGACTCAGTTTCTTTAAATTACTCAATACTTTCTCTTTAAAGAAAAAATGGAGGCACAAACATTTCAGTAACACATCTTTAATTACTCGCCAGGGAAACCCAGTAAATATGTGCAGAGAGAGTCTTTTCTCCAGAGGAATTCTCTCAGCAACTATTTTACTAAGACCCCCCCCCCAAAAAAAATTAGAATTTCCACTAATTTTTAAAGTTGCTTAGATGTTACTTAAATCCTGCTGATTCTTTTAGGATACTTTATACTTCTGCAACTTTTTATTTTCCCTTTTATTTTTTTATCTTTCATACATAATTTTAGTAGCAGCAATACATATCTTCAATATGTACAAAATTATGCTTATGGAGAAGACGAACTAAGAAAAACCTAGTATTACATCCCAATTCATAGTTAAACTGACTATGCTTTCCCAGCCATGGAAATATAATGGTTGAATTAAGATCCAGAAAAAACCAAGTCTAAGCAGTTGGATAGCCTGCCCAAAAGCAAATTTCACTGAAAAGAAAAAAAAAATGTTGTATAATGTTCAGCTGTTATCAGTCACTTATATCAATATATTATGACCTTATGGAGAAAGCAGAAACATCATATGCACAAACTTGTATTTTAAAAAGTTTGCCTCCTTTTGAGTTATTCTCTTTTAAAACAGTGATTAGCTCAGGGTATCAAATTCACATTGTCACGGCAGAGTCATGTGACATATCAGGACTCCTCCCCCCTTTGCTAAACTGGGCGTGGGTGTGGTCAGCGCCATCAGGCCAGTGGGCCGGGAGTTTGACAGCCCTGGATTAGCCTGACTCCAACAAATATTCAATTACTCACAATCAAAGCAAATGCTAAGCAATGTTTTGAAAAAAAACCCCAAAAACTAAAACAACCGGTGATTTAAAGAATTACATAAAAACATGTTGACTGTGAGGAAATACTGTATTATCTAACATTGTTATAACTAAACTATATTAAAAACATATTTCATATTCTATGAAAGACAAGTTTTGCTTCTGTAGTTTTTAACAGAAGTCTTAATGCGGTATTCTGAAATAAATGCAATAGTGGAGAGCACAAGTCAGTAAGCTATGTTCCCCCTCTGATTTATGAAAGCACACAGCTTAAATAAAAATGAAATCTAAAGATTCCCACATTTCTGCTCCAAAAGGCACCCTATGTATTGATTCACAGGAAGGCAAGTACTCTGAATATTTATTGTCATATATTTATTCTTTAATAAAAATCTAATACACACACACACACACACACACACACTAATTTATAAATGGACATATAGGTATTTCTTCCAAAAGTAATTATTTCTATTGAGCTTTAGGGATTATGGAAAAAAGATATATATTACTTTAATGCCTTTGCCAAAGATATATTTTCTTTTCAAGTTGTGATTTAAAAATGAAAACAAATCAAGAATGCCATGAAGACTATATGGCTTACTTTTAAGTCTAATTATCATTCAAGCTCTTTCCAATTATATTCTGAAATTTCCTCTTTCATAAAACATTGAACAGAAAGGAGGCCAAATCTTACTTACCAGATGCCCTCTAAATATGTTGGGGCTACCTATAAAGTTATTGGTTATGTTTTCTGGAATATTAGGAGTTGTACTGTATATAGGTTGACCAGTCCCAAAGTCTAATTACGTATGATTGGTAGAGGAACATATAAGAGTGCCCAACATATAATTAGCAATATACTATATCTTTAGTGGCCCAAATAATCTAACAATATTGTAAACTTCAAAATTCCACATAATGTCTAGAGACCAAAATCAAGTACAGGTAGTCCTCGCTTATCAACTACTCGTTCAGTGACTATTCAAGCTTACAATATGACCCATCTTCAAAATTGCAGCCATTGCAGTATCCCTGCAGTTATGAGATTGTCATTTGTGAACTTCATAGCCAGCTTGCAGCAAGCATGTCAATGGGGAAGTTGGCAGGAAGTTGCAAGTCACAATCATGTGACATTGTGCTTAACGACCCATGCTGAATCGCTTAACTGCAGCCAGAACTGATGTTAGATTAGATTAGATTTATTAAATTTGTATACCGCCCTTCTCCCGAAGGACTCAGGGTGGTGAACAGCCAAGATTAAAATACATACAATATAAAAATTAAAATAAATTAAAACAGAATTAGATCAGTTTGGCTTCCCCAAATTTTAAAACCCTTTACCCATAAAATAACCCATTAAAATTTTAAACCCGGCTTGCTGAAATAAGAAAGTCTTCAAAGCTCGGCGGAAAGTATGGAGGTCCGGGATCAGTCGTATTCCTGGGGGTAGCTCGTTCCAGAGGGCGGGTGCCCCCACAGAGAAGGCTCTCTGCCTGGGGGTCGTCAGTCGACATTGCTTGACCGATGGCAACTGTTATCAGTTGGTGCAGTCACATGGTGCTGCACTTAACACTGTAACCAGGATGGATTTGATTTAAATCGAGTTGATTTAAATCACTAGTAAAAAGGCTTGATTTAAATCAACTCAATTTAAATCATAATTTTTAAAGAGCAACTGTCATCTCTGCTACTCCTTTGACCCACTGTTGACTCACCAATAGTCCCAGTGTTGCAGAATATATAGTCATGCTACATAACTAAGCTCCATTTCATGCTGAATAAACTAAATTATTTATGTATCTTAAATAGAAAACTATCTTACGATAGATTTTTACCCCAAAAGTTTTTTATTAAAATAAATTCGATAAAAATAAAAAAATCCGATTTATATAAATAAAAATCCGATTTAAATAAAAAAAATCTGATTTTGATTTTTTTTTAAAAAAATCATTGATTTTTATCCACCCTGACTGTAAGAGTTGCCAGTCCCAACTGCAGTCAGTAAATGAGGATTGACTGTATCTTTGAAAATTCTACAATAAGACTGGAGTCAGAAGTTGTAGAAAGAAGGGTACTATGATGCAAATTTAGAGAGATTAAAATATAATTGCATTTATAACCGTTGTGCATATTGAAGTCATTTCTTTGCATCTTTTTCCTTTTCTATTTTTCTTCAATTTTTTAAATTGTAGTTTGCCTTCTTTTTCTTTCTTACATTAGTATTAATTTTTATCATTTTTTAAAAAAATAAAAAATCATATTAAAATGTATTTTTGTAGCCTTAAGGGTTTCCTATTTAAATATCATTTTACGATGTGACAAGATCAATTATGCGTAACATTTTAAATGGTCAGCTTTTTTAGAGACCTGTATAAATATGTAGCAGTATCACAGGTCTGTCAAGATGGCTTACTTCAAAATATACTGTGTTAGTATGAATCATTTAATACTATCATTTCATGTTTACAGGCTTTCCATTTGATTAGTTACTATGGCAAACAGAACACAGGAACAGGGCTTTATTACTACAGAACATGTAATTTTACACTCCTCAGGCTATTTCAAGTATAACTTGCCTACCAATACGGGTCTTTAAATCCACCCAAAAGAATCAAGCCCTTTAGAATAATGATAATGTTAATAAAAGATGAACTAAACTTAGACAAACTGTCCAAATTCATCTCTGTAGTAACAATCAGATTGAAATAATCTAAATTTATTCAAGATTTTGAAAGCTGAGGTTTTGCATGCTCAGATCATAAACGCACTTGACCTTACCTATTACTGTACTTGGATTTTTCTCTGTCTTTATCCTTCTTGTGCTCTTTGTGTCGATGTTCTCGGTCTTTGTGTTTATCTTTATGTTTGTGCGAATCTGTGAACAGAACAGCAAAGAAAGGAATTAAGAAATAAAATAAGGAAATAAAGCAGTTGTCTAAATTTCTATGATGCTATTAGTTATACGTTGTCACCCCAGGCTCTGAGACACACGTTGTCAATGTTGTCTTGGTGGCTAGAGATTGTAAGGGTCTTCATGGGACAAAAAAGACTTAAAATTGAAAAGACTAGAAATTAAAACTTGTCCAAAATGCAGCACCTCATGTATTAACTGGGAACATGTAACACCAAGGGTCCTGCACTGGTTCCCAATTCAGTTCTGGGTACAATTAAAGTACAGCCCTTAATCTATAAAATCAATAATAGCTTGGCACTTAGATATGCCTTGTCCAATCTTCAACTGTGGCAAAACTGTCTCTTTCACTATGGCTACACCTAGTAGTGTGTAAGTCAGCATTTTTTTCTTCTGAATAGGGACAATAGACTGAATTACCAGTCTGTTTCCAGGTCAATTCAAGATGCTGGTTGTGAGTTTTAAAATCCTACATAGCATGGGATCAGTTATCTGAGGAACTGCTTCTCTTCAATTGTACCTGCCTGTCCCACCAGAAATAGTAGAGAAAACATGCTACGGGTTTCATAGGCTAGAGAGCTACATTTGCTAGGCTCTAGGTGGCAGGCCTTTTCTGCTTGGCAAAAGTGAAGCTGGTTTAATTTCTTTTGATTTTCCAAAGGACCCTCAAGACATTCAAGGGTCCTTTGGAAAGTCAAAAGTGATAAAGCCAGCTTCACTTTAAGTGCTGGGGATTGGAGAATTATTACGTATCTCTGTTATTACTAACATCCCTTTGACCAATATTTCTTTTTAGATTTTTAAAACAATCTCTTTAATGTTTTTAAATAATTAGGACTTTCATTGGAATTCACAGCACTTTTCTCTTTTTGACATTGCAATCACTCTGCCAAACAGAAATTCTGACTTTCCCAAGAGTATCACAATGAAAACTGAATCGCCCATAATCCTGGGGCTAGGAAACTGTTATCCTCAGAATACCACTATTTTCTTAGCAACTGCTTCCTTATCTATTTTGTATATGCAGACGGGAGGGGGTGGATATGAAATCTAGCTATGCTACAACTTTGAGCATTATTCATGCTAGAGCCATTTGACTGGTTGATTTTTCCCATGAATTAAAACACTTCAGAGGAAACTTGTTTTGGAATCACCATTCAATAAAGTATGGTGAAATAGGGAAGGCTAGATCATTTATGTTTAGGCTGTAGCAGAATAATTTCTAACACATTATTACTTTAGCCATAAGGAGGCATAATGAAGCACAAGGAAGTACTGGTGTTCAACGTGACTTTTTTTTATTTCTGTTAATGCAGCAAATTTGTTTTCACTAAGCCATGTTACTTTGTTTGGTTTCCTAAATATACTAGCACCTCCACTCCATTCCCATGTCTGAATTAATAAACTAGGAATGTAATTATATAGTAATCTTCACAGCACAAGATAAAAATCTAGGATTTATTTTTATTATTGCAATTGAGCCATATAAGATTTACAGCGTAAAATGAGGTGGAGGTGGGTAGATATGAAAAGAAGCAATCATTTAATTTTTATATTTCATGCTTAGCTACAGGCTTAGTTAAGATAAGTCCGTAATTAGAAGGCAATTTTATACATTTTCCAGAGAACAAATCCCAGCAAACCATTAGGATTTAACTTTTCGATGAACATGTATAGGATTGTGTTGTTAACCGGAGGGCAATGAAATAAATTTATATATCTCAGATGATTAAAGCTAATTTTCTAGTGTCTGTACAAAAATATTTGCTTTTAAGTTTTTTAAAAATTAAAATAAACACCTTAAGAATTGGAAGAACTTTTTCCTTCATTACCCAAAACCACTTTTCTGAAAGTTCTTTTTACAAAATGTAGGTAAAACACAATTCAAATGTCCCTATTTTGATTGGATATGCTAAACAATGCAATCATGTAGTGTGATGTCACATGACCACATTGCTGAGTAATGGCAATCCAGTGATCCCCCGTCACTGCAACTCTGGGACTGTATGAGTCATTTCACGAGGACCATGACATGACATGGGAAGAGATGGGAGTCCCAGGCAAGTAGGCTGCAGGAGTTTCAGGCAAGTAGGCTGGCAAAAGCTGCAGGTAATGGGCAGGTGCCATGGATAGGCAGGGAGGCAGGCGAGTGGTTGCCACAAACAGGTGATATGGAGCACAGAAAAAGGAGTGCAAGGGTAGGCACTACAGAATCCAGGTGGGTAGGCAGGCACTTCCTCCCAGCTCCCCCATTTCTATTCTGAAAAGTACAATGCCTCCCAACAGGCTTACAGGTGCAATTTAAAGTGCTGGTAATCACCTACAACCGTGTTGGCGAACCTATGGCACGGGTGCCAGAAGTGGCACACAGAGCCATTTCTCTGGGCATGCGGAGCCATCACCCGTTCTTCCGGGTTCCGGTACGCCGGTCATCTGGTTTTCATGTGCAGGAAATTGGGCGTGCAGGAAATTGGAAGAGCAGCCGCCCATTGCACATGTGCACTCCAGGAAAATGATCTTCCTTGTTTCCAGAGTGCGCATGCACACCAGCCAGCTGGTCTGGTTTCTGGTGCACATGAACACACAAAGACCAGCAATTGGCACGCGTGCCAAAAGACGCAGAGAGGGAATCCCAGCGGTCACTTTCTAAGGGAGCAGAGCAAGGTAAACCAAGGATTCCCTCCCTCCCTGCCCGTGTGAGCTACTTGCGCAGTCCCAGGCGGTCCGGACCACCAGTGGACCAGCAGCTGCTCCTCCAGTCAGAAGGCGGGGTGGGGAAGGCTCCCCTGAGGGAGACCACTGCCAGGCCCGGCAAGCAGAGAGCGAAGGGGCAGTGTCTCTGGCCAGCCTGGCTTGCTGGGCCGGGCAGCGGTCCAGCTGGGGCCACCTTGGGGGAGACTGCAGCACGGTCGGGGTCCTGGTGCTCCCTTGCTGGGTCCCTCGGAACACAGCGAGGAGGAAACCCGGGATTGGCTGCCAGCGCGGACGATTCCCCCGTGCAGCAATTGCAAGCACCGAGCCCGATGGCGAGAGGGGGCGGCCAGGAAAAAGGGAGCCAATTGGGGTGGGGGGACGGGATGGCTGGCACAGCCACAACTCCAGCTCCTTCAGTCGCGGGTTGCAGGCGCCCTTTGAAACGGGGCTCTCCAACCTTGGCAACCTTAAGATTTGTGGACTTTGAGAACTCCCAGAGTTCTCAAAGTTGCCAAGGTTGGAAAGCCCAGCCCTGCCTTGGAAAGGCCCGTTGTAAGGCAGGCAGGAGGGTTCAACTCTCATGAGCCTCCGCTCCCACAAGGCACATTTACAGCCCAGGGGCGGGGCTGCAGTCCTGCTTGTGCCATTCATTGCAAGCTTGGCAGCAACCGCGGCCTCCTCGCGTGTTTCCCTGCACCCCCTTCTGACTGGGGGAGCAGCGTGGGCAAAAAGTCTCTGCTGGGATGGGTGAATGGGGCGCTGGTGAGTTGGAAGGCAGGGCTGAGAGCGCTGCCGTTGGCTTGGGAACAGCTGTCTCGCCAGGGTAACTGGTTGTCCTCCGGTAAGAGGCGCGCCGGCCCTCTTGGGAAAAGTGGGAGCACATGCGTGGCGGGCGCACACATGCGCAGTGGGGGTTGCATGTGCGCATGTGCAGTGAGGTGCATGCGCATTAGGAGCATGGTGGGGGTCATGTGCGCATACGCAAATGGGGGCGCCCATTGCATTATGGGTGCTGGCACGCGAGAGCTCGTGTGCTCGGACTTTTCACACGCAAAGCCAAAAAGGTTCGCCATTACTGACCTACAACATCCGCTTTGGCACAGGATCAAATTATTGATGGAAAGTTATCTGCCCGTTTTGCACATCCTGACACTTATGAGACCCAGGAGGTATGCCTTCTCTATGGGAACATCTGCCTTTTGAAATGATCTTATTACTGGATGTATAGTCAATACCAACCATATAGTCTTTGAGGAAGGTGATTAGAATCTGGCTGTTGAAATAAGTCACATGTAGAAATCTACAATTTTGTTCACCCATAAAACTATATAATATTCTAATGAGCTGTGTTATTTTACATTGTTTTTGTATTTTTGCCACAAAGAGTCACATAGTTTTTAATATAATTACAAAAACAAAATAAAAATAAATAAATAAATAAATAAATAAAGGGACTGCAGCTTCGGGGGCTCCGTCTGAAGGAGCTGCATCAGTCGGGGAGTGCCGCTCTGGAGGGTGGAGCTCAGCTTTCCTTGCTGAGCAGCCACAGTGAAGGAGGCGCGTCACTGGGGATCTCTACCCCTCCACTCAGCAGACCCAACCAGCCTGGAGGCGAAGCAGTCAGCTAGAAAGGCCCATTCCCCTTGCGTACACAATGCACTTTAGAACCACTGAGACCGCCAGCAACTTGTGCAAGTCCATTAGGCTGCTGCCATCCGAAGCACCAGGCCTACCCAGCTCAAAGGAGGCAAAGCAGACAACTAGAAAGGCTGAGTAGAGGTACGCCCAGGCCCAGCAGGCAAATAACGGCCAGCATGAGTGGAGAAAGTCAGATCTCCATCGGAATCCTGGCTGCCCAGCCCAGCAGAGATGGGGGGAGGCACGCGATCCCAGCTGGGCTTGGGAGGCCATAGCGCCGATGCGGATCAAGCTTTCCCCGCTCGCCGTGGCCAGCTTTTGCCTGCTGGGAATGACCATGCTTTTACCACTTCTACTTGGCCTTTCTAGCTGGTCGCATTGCCTCATTTGGGCTCGGTGGACGTGGTGCTCCGGCGGCGCTGGTAGAGGCCTAATGGACCTGCGCGAGCTGCTGGAGGCCTCAGTGGTGCCAAAGTGTGTTGGATGCCTGAGGGGAACGTGCTCCACCTGTGGCCAAGAGCAAGACCTACGAAGGGGCCAAGGAGATGACCAGCGATGACCTACTCTCCAACTGCAAACCAGAAGAGATGGGACGGAGTAGGGAGCAGCCGCCCCACACCCTCCTCACATTG